TATCGGCAAAAAATCCAATATCTTGCATCCCTAATTAAATAAAAAAAAAACCCACAAACTATATAAAATTAGGTTTCAAAATCACAAAAGAAAAGCAGTGTTCTCTGCTCTGAAATGCTGGGGCCACGTCCGCAATAGGCACCAGCTCGGAGAGCAAGCCGTCGTGCAGCTTCAGACTCCTGTTAGCAGCAAATCCAGTAGCACAGTAACTTACACACCACCTGACCCAAAGAACGATTTGCCAGTGGAACGCAGAGAGCTCACAATGATGAGCACACCAACACTGATGCTGTGCGCTCTAACATTGGTAGTAAGGTAGTTTTTATATAGTGGGAGAGAGGGTATGCTAAGGTTGGCTGCAGTGCGTCACTGAGCCATGACTTCAGGCCCACCCCAAAAACCCTGGACACAATTTTTTTAAAAACAGTCTGAACTGTCTAAACTTTTCAAACAAGTGTAATATCTTTTGAAAGATATCTCTGATTAGCTTTTCCCATACTAAACCTGTACAGTACAGTAAACCTGTGTGCAAGCATCTGCATCGGTTATGTTTCTCCACTCATTTATTCAATTTTTTCCTTTAATTTCTCAACTGTACAGTGCTCATAAGAACGAATGCATTAGGATCGGTCTGATTCCGCTCAGCAGGTGACTGATAGATCAATCACATCGCATGTTCACTACGCTGTTATTTAGAGCAGCGTGTCACAATGTTGGGTAAAAAATTACGTTTGTTCTGAGTTTTGACAAGTGGGGGAAAGTTTATGCAAATGACTCGGGGAGTCAATATTAAGTTGGAGGGGGAAAAATAGTTTGCTAGCAAAAGGCAATGAAAGACACATTCAGGTTGCAGGCTTCTCATTTTGAGCCGGCCCTGACTTTTGCTATCACCTGTTACAAGGGAAAATGTCACTGGCAGAGGGTCGGGTCATCTGTTGCTGACTGATGTGCTCCCTACAAGCCTGTGCCTGCACTTGTCAAATATCATTTCTGACTGAAAAGACAGGCTCTGTTACACCAGTGCATGGCTGTGATCACACTGTATGTTTCTGTAATTCATTGTTCTTCCAACATAAAATCAGAGAACACATCATCAAGGCCTCGGGTGCGAGACACTTTTAGTGGTTTGAAGTGTGATAAACTGAAAATATTTGCTCCATTTAATCTGGCACCGCACTACGAACTGCAGGTCTCTCTGAATGTGATATTTTATTTCTCTTCATAAATCCAACAGCATCCTATTTAGAGTCTAAACAGCACAATAATGTTTAACAACGTGACTCAATATAGCAAATGTGTTTTGGTTTAGACAAGCCTGGACAGATCAGGAAGAGCTTTTTTAATATACTGTGTATCTAATAGTAATCTAGATACTGACCTTCTCGTCTTGCCTGTCTGCAGGTCCCACTCGATAATGTTTGTATCATCTGAGCCGCTGTATAATAAACTGTCCTCAGGGTGCCACTGGACACAATTCACTCCTCCACTATGGCCTCCATCCTGGCAGAGACAGAAAATGACAGTTAGCAGTGGCAAATAAATTATCCTGCTATTCAAAAGTGAACACTATACTTAAAAATGTCACTTTAACAGAAGCATGTTCTTATTACATACAATTCATTTCCAGGAGAGAACTTTTCCCAGTTGGAAAAATTGCATTCTACGTACCACTTTACCTCCCTTTAATAGTATGTAATAGACAAGCCAGAATGTGGGTGTGTAATGTCTCAAGACTCACCAGGGTACAATGCAGAGCTCCCTTTGCTGTACTGTAGATTAGGACACTGCCTGCAGCTGTGCCCATCGCCAACAGGTCTGCCTTCTCCTCCACCTGTCCTGCCTCTGATTTCCTCTTCTTCCTCTGAGGCCCCTCCTGAAACAGCACATTTGTGATGTTAACCTAACTAAACATTATAATAATACATATGAGTCGTGCTTGGTTAAATTGGAGGCTGTCTCAATCAATTTATTTGCCACATTAAATATCATAAAAGTACAAGCCAAGTACAAGGTAATCTTGTCAGTCTATTATAACACTTATAAGTTATAAAACAGATTATAACAAATGTTGTGTTTGACTGGCTGCTATTATTTGACATTTGAAATAAAACATGGCCTGCTCAACAACCTCCTGTTAAGTAATGGGAACTAACATGCTAATTTAAAATATCATGGACACAATAAACACATTGCAGGCAGCATGAAAATGAATAATTGCGATTCAATTTTTAATTTTCTGCCATGAACTAAAATAACATGTGTGAAACGGTTAACAAAGTGGCCGTGGATACACTGGGGTAAAACTTTCTGAAGAGTTGTCACGGTGGCACACGCTTCTGAAGCTCTGGTGAGCTAATGCTAACTTGAATAACCAGTTTATTTACATTACTAACTGTCTGACCAGAGTAAAAAATAACTGGTCGCATTAATGTAGCTGCAGTATTTATTCTTTAGAGTTAGCTCGCCCTGTTATACCAAATTTAAACATTGTCCGTGTTTTCGGGACCACCATGTGGGGCTAACATGTGCGTCCTGCGCAGCTGTTGGAAGCTAGCTAACTGCTAACGTGGCTATCCTCCTAACCAAGTCCGTGTCCGTGACATGACGGCATTAACACACAGCCGGAGGTTAGCAGCTCTCTGTACACTTTCCTTAAATGACAGCGAGACTTTTCTGGGTTCACAGTGTGCACTTCTACAGGAATCTCCACCACAGACAGCTTGCTCGGGCCTCACTAGCTAGCGTCACTGAAGCTAATTCCAAGGCAGGCTCACGTACCTTGACTGTCCGGCATGGTCCCCAGGCTATGCAGATACAAGTGGCACTCAAATGAGCTGAAGGCACGTATTCTTGGTGAAGTGTTTTACTGTCTGTGTTCCAGATGCGCAGTCTGCCGTCTTGGGCACACAGCGCTAAGTACTGTCGGGATTTTGGTGAAAAAACGCAGGGTAGCTGCAGCGAAGAGCTGCCACCATCGGCCGCCATTTCTGAGCCGCTGCTTGCGTCTGCGCGCGTGCGTGCGTGCGTGGTTTACACAAACCACGTGTGGACCTCTGAGGACATGCGCGTTGGGACGTCAGGAGCGCCGCCCTCCCATTGGCTGCTGCCAGACGACTAGCAGGTTGACTCATGCTGCCTTCAAGTCCCCTGGTAATAAGAGACACTATCAAAAATCAGATATACTTTACTGTAGAATAGAAAAATGAAATATAAAGTGCATAAAATATGAAAATATGTACATTTAAAATATAAAATATGCATAATGTTCAAAGCATGTAAAGTGTGTAAAAAATACAACAATATGTGTCTTATGCTGCATTGCAATGTATAAGACTAGTGTGTAAGTTATAAATATAAAAATATGTGTATGATGCTCCAGTGTACAACACACTATATACATTAGTAGAAATAGAAATAAAAATAAAAAAGTATGTACAGTATGTGCAACATATTGTTAAATATACATTCAAGAGTGGTGTTGGTGAGAATAAATCAGGATATTGAGAAGAATATTGCACAGCTGAATAACTGCACAGGGTATTGCTGCAGCTGAATTATCGCACCAATTATATGTACAGTTAGGACAGTGTTACAAAGAATTATAGCACCTTTAAATCTCTTGTGCACAATGCACTATAATAAATAAATTATGGAATTATTAACTCCTGACTGGTGAATTAAATCCAAGTGCCAGACTATTGACCCCGAGTGTCTGACACTCTTAGGGAGGAGTTGTAAAGTTTGATGGCCACAGGCAGGAATGACCTCCCGTGGTGCTCTGTGCTGCATCACTGGGTCTACCACTGAATTTATAATAGAGTGGGAGTGACACACTGTCCAAGATGACACAAAACTTAGACAGCATCCTCCTCTCTGACTTTGCCACCGCAGAGGCCAGCTCCACCCCTGCAACGTTACTAGCCTTGCAAATCAGTTTGTTGAGTCTGTGGGCGTCTGATACCCTCGACCTGGTGCTACCCCGGCACACAGCAGCAAACAGGCCACCACAGACTCATAAATCCTCAGCGTTACCTGGCAGATGTTGAAGGACCTCAGCCTCAGGAAATAGAGACGCTCCAGCTCTTCTTCAGTGTGTCCAGTTTCTTTGTTTATGAACACTCCCAGTCCCAGGTACATGTAGTCCTCCACAAATCCTACCCTGACCCTACAACACCTAAAGCTTCTGCTTCTTTGAGATTTAATGGCATCCTTAACATTGCATTACTGCCCCCGTCGTTAATACTAATTATCACTTCTTTCCAGCACACTGGGATTCTTCCTTTTGACCATACTTTCTTAAGCCATACTTTATTAAATAACAGAAACATCTTCATTCCAGCATGATGAAGCACCCCCGAATAGCACCACTACATTAGGCCCTTTACAGCTGCTGTAAATATGCCGTTATGTGCTTTCAATAAAAAAACAACAACAGCAAAACTGTCAAAAGAGCTGACACAGTTGCTCCAATTTGTTTTACAACAACAAATAAACGCTTTACATGTGTTTATCTTTATGTCACTTGTTGGAAATAACACTTGACATATTTACGACTTTTCACAGCACTTGAACGCACCAACAGCAAAATAAATCTGCCATAAATCTGTTTTGACGCCAAACTCATGTTTGCATTTCACATAAACACAGCCAGTTAATCAATGTAATGAATTTGCATATTTCATAAAGTCGAAAATACTATAATTTTAAAGAAAGACAGTGCTGTGCAAACCTAACTCTCTAAAACTGTGCAGTTTTAATAAAGTATGTCACATTGTTGTCCTGTGGCTTCAGTATTACAAACAGTGTGCAATGTATTCCCGGTTATTGGACAGAAAACCTAATAACAAAAGCAATAAGAGAGATAAGACCGCTGAATTTCAGTGTAAAGTCTATTTGAGGCGGAATAATGTTTCATAAAGTTTAGTTGCGATGTCGCCCTCTGCTGGTGGACTTTAATTACTGCAGCAGTCGCTCAGTTATGACGTAGCTCGCATGTGTTTATCCAGCATGGTGACCTCCTTGGTGTGTGAATACAGCCGGGGCTTACAGGAAATGAAGACGAGTGAAGTGCTAGCTGTTATAGAGTAAGTGAACTGTCAAACAGGTTTATCGTTATATTTATTTTGAGTAGTTTATTTCGCAGGAATCATATTCAAGTCAAGGAATCATACAGCTGTCATGTATAAGGTTCCATCTGCTTTTAATTTACTGGATATAGCCCTTAGTTTATGTATACGTTTATAAGTCATGTTGTAAAGTGAAAGAATGGCTTTGCAGATGCCCTTTGCTGGACTCCTGTTCATGCACAGACTGGTGAGAATTAGCACATCCACTCAGAGACATCTCAGCAGCAGGGACACACTTGTAAAGCTCCACAAATGTAAGAGGGAGATCAGACACTTTTCAACTGCTTCTGTGAGATGCAACGAGAATGAGGGAGACACCAGACTGACCTCCAGACAGGCACTGCTGTCAAGAAGGAGGCGACCCCTGTCTCCCCTGGAGAGGATCAGCAGCCTGCTGCCTGAGGACGCCCTGAGCCCTGAGGTGATGCAGCTGAGGGAGCAGAACCAGCAAGACCCTGAAGGAGAAGCAGACATCCAGGTATCGGGCACACACTGCTCACAAGAGGAAGGTGGACATGATGGAGTTTCAGAAGAGGATGGCTCAGATGCAGCTATGGAGACAAACCCATCAGAGGCTCAGATGAGGGGAACATCTCATGAGGAAGAAGGGTTGACACCACCCACACTTCCTGGGGAGAGCTTGCTTGTGTTTGGGGAGCTGGTTGTCGCTGAGTATCACAGGAGGAAATGGCGTGGGGAGTTCAGGAAGATGTTTGAACTTAAGCCGGGGGCACATCTGCATAGCAGCTGGGGGGCAATTCGGCATGAGGATATAGCCGGGCAGCCAGCAGGTTGCTTCCTGAAGACAACCATGGGGGCTTCGCTCCTTCTACGACGGCCCAGTCTGGAAGATTATGTGCTGTATATGAAGAGGGGGCCAGCCATCTCATACCCTAAGGTACGGTATTTGTTTGTGTGCCACATGCATTCCTGTTACAGATTGTTTTCTCCTCACAGATGTTTTGTGTTTTTGTGTCTCTCTTTTTTCCCCAGGATGCAGCTACTATGCTCATGATGATGGATGTCACAGAGGGAGACTGTGTGTTGGAGTCAGGATCGGGGTCAGGGGCCATGTCTCTGTTCCTGTCCAGAGCAGGTGTGCACCCATCATACTTCCATTGAAACTGAAGTTGAAGTGTAGAGTGTCAGAGCTTAGGTTTTACATGTTCTAATGAACCGTGTGTTTTTGGTTTTCCCAGTTGGCTCTAAGGGCAGCGTGCTGAGTGTGGAGGTCAGGGAGGACCACCACACGAGAGCGGTGCGGAACTACAAGCACTGGAGGATGTCTTGGAACCTGCGACGAGGGGAGGAGTGGCCCGATAACGTCCAGTTTCACAACGCCGACCTCTGTACGGCTTCCTCGCTCCTCGCTGCTAAGGGATTCCATGCGGTCAGTGTCTGGTTTAAAGGACCAATTAGATTTTGAATGAGAGAATTAGATTTTGTGTCAGCGGCTCATTCGTCTGATGGATTCTGTCTGTTGCAGGTTGCTCTTGACATGACCCACCCTCAGCTGGTTTTACCCACTGTGACTCCACGTCTGCACCCTGGAGCTGTTTGTGCTGTCTACCTTGCCAAGTGTGTATCTCCGGTGTTTCACTGTCACCTTTCACACCAGACCCAACACGAGAGGCTAACTGGAGTTGCATATATTGAGCTTCGACAAAGTGCAGTGGCTTCATACTGTTTTGGAATAGTTTGGCATTTAGGGAAATAAGCTCAATCGCTTTCTCCCCGACAGTTAGACGAGAAGATTGATACCTCTCTCACTCTCATCCATTAAGTGTGACGCCACAGCCAGCCGCTAGCAGCCAGTTAGCTTAGCTTACCATAAAGACTAGAAACAGGTGGAAGCAGTTAGCCTGGCTCTTTCCAAAGCTCACTCATTACATGTTAGATCTTATTCATGTAATCCGTACAAAAACTGAAGTGTAAAAAACGACACACTGTAAAAAATAAATTAAAAATTTCAGAGGGATTAAACAAACAATTATTAGGGAGTCCAGTATTTCTTTATGCTAATCTAAGCTAGCTGGCTATATACTGTACTTCCACTCAATTTGACGCTACAGCCAGCAGATGTTAGCTTAGCTTAGCACGAAGACTGCAAATCTTTCCAGCACCTGTTTACCAGCGCCTCTAAAATTCACTAACTTGTTGTATCATTTATTTAATTTCAGTTTTGAAATGACCAGTTGTAGTCTCCGCTGGTTGCCTGGCAGCCATTATGTATTATTTGCTAATTGTGAACATGAATGCTATTAGTGAATGTTACTAATGGTGTGTCTCAAATCACTTACTTCCGTTAGTACACTTCCATGTAGTATACCGTGTGCGCTATGTACTCATTGGCGTAGTGCGCAACTTTCGACAGGGTAGTGTTGTCTCAAACTAAACACAGCCATTGTGCACTCACCAGAAATGACGACCGCAAATTAGCTAATTGGCAAACTAGCATTAGCATTCGCGTTATCGTTTGCAGTACCAAATCATTACAGACTGCTAAATTAACCCAATAAACATACTGCTGGCTTATACCTGACAACAGTACAGTGGTGCTTAGTGCAAAAAACACATGTATTTGTACAATGCAGCGACGTTCGCCATCACACAGTCCTCGGCCGCCATTTCCAGTTTGAAAAGTGGTCGCTCCCCTTCTGCTACGTTGCCAAGGTGGCGACCATTGAGGGCGAGAAGTGTCCATAGTTCCACACTCAACTTCTTGACCGTTTTCAGTGCACCATCCGGGTACTCATAGTGCACTGCATTTTTCCATACTGCTCAGTGTGAACGCACTTATGCACTCAAAATATTAAGTGTAAGTACAGAGGTACGCGATTTGAGACAAAGCATAAGATTTCTTAACACTTAGCTGTAAATTTTACCTCGGATTATGAAAGCTAACATTTTTAGCAGCGACTTTGCATGGTGGAGCCGGGAGTCAGACGCACAAAGGATGCCAGAATGCAAAGTATTTTTTCCTATGATGGTGAAGGCATGAACTGCTCTACTCTCCCTCTGAATGGCTAGTACTTGTCGATGTTGTTGGTTGGGTTGGTTAGGTTTATGCAAGACAAGTGAGATTGGTGAGGGTTGGGGTAATACTGTCAGGGTAAGCCAATCAGTGCCAGAGTAAGGCGGGTAACGCCTTTGTCATCCTAGCCAAAAAAACAAACAAGAAACCTTACATCCAGCACATAACCCCGAGTAAAACCACAACGTATCATTTGTACAAATTAAAGAAGATATAACTTGTTAATTTGTGATCTTGGGACTGGTTAATAATTTTCTTTTAGCCTCCATATAGCGCCAGGCTAGCTGTTTCCACCAGTTTCCAGTGTTTTTGCTAAGCTAACGTAGCTGGCTGCTGTCTCCAGCTTCGTATTTATAGTATGTGGTACGGTTTTGCACTGGGAGTCTGAATTTTCTAGTTCTTAGTTAGGAATTTCAACTGAACTAACTCAGAAAGTCAGAGGAACCTCACCAACCCTGACCTCAAAATCCAAAATGGCTGCTCTCATCAACAGTAGTGAAAGCTGTAGTAATATACTGGTTATTTACGGTCTTTTTTGTGTCTCATTAAATCAGTCGTGCACACAGTCCTGTCCAACTACTACCTGTGGACACATTGCTACAGTGTTTGTATGTGCCAAATATAAGGTAATGCGTTTGTATCAAATGGTAAGGTGGCTCAAACTGGTCCAACATCTTGGTTTTCCAACTTGTTAAACTGGAACGCGATCAACTTGGGTGCAGTGTCATTCCCAGCCCCGATCTCAGACTTGTGAGGTAAATGGAACGCAGCATTACCTTACAGACATGAGAGTGATATCAAGCTTCTCATGTAACTCTCTGCAAGACAGCAGATAAGCACAGCCTGTTTCCCAAAATGTCTTTAAAGTGGGATGTGTCTTGATCTAAATAATGTATAGTGTAACACCTGGCTTGTCTTGAGTACACAAGAGTACATGATTAAAGCATAACAAAAATAAAATGGCAGGCATGATACCACCTGAAACATTTATGGTGTTCACCTGCGTGCTGAAGTGTTAATGCACTGCATTTTGCACATTACACCCACAAGTATAAGTGGGTGTTTTATATCAGTTTAAAACGCTGCTCTGATTATCCCTCTGTAACTCAGTGTAACACAGGTCATCGACCTGCTGGAAGGGATTCGATATTCTGCGCTCCCTTTGCTGTGCGAGCGCATCATGGAGGTTTCAAACCGACACTGGTTGGTGGCTCCGGCCCTCCAGAAAGATGGAAAACACTGCATCAGGAAAGCTCCAATCCTGGACGGAGACCAGAGGGAGGCGGGGGAAGCATCAGATGAGACTGATGAAGGTGATTTAAAGTCCTTTGTGTTTGTCATACATTATATTCTGAGCTCTTCCTTTATAAGTTCTACGGTTATATTTCAGAAGAGATGACCACAGAGGAACACCCAGCCTTCGGGAGTATTCCCTACATCGCTAGACCTCATCCTGAACAAATGAGCCACACAGGTCAGACAACACCACATTTCTAGTCCCAGTTTAACACTGTGTATATGATGTTGTAAAGAAACTGTCATTGTCTTTTTCATTTTCAGCATTCCTGGTGAAACTGAGGAAGATTGTGAGGTAGCTGTGCTGCCTGTGAGAAAGCCTGGACAAAAATAATTGTGACATATCAACCTATTTATCTCCTTACTGTAAATAATCTGAAAACTAACAAGGCCAAAATGTTCACTGTGGTGTATTTTAAGGAGATGTCTACTTTGTAAATGCAAAGTTAAAAATCCCAGACAATAGATAATCAGTACATTTAGTAAATAAGGGTCAGAATGATGCACTGTAAACTTACTGCATGTAAAGAGCAACATATTTGTATGTACCCCATTCCTGTAATGGAACCAAGTTAAGTTAATAAAACCAGGTTGTCATAAAGACTCAAAAACACAAACCGGTTCAAGCTTTTATTCAAAATGTCACAAGGCAGTATTGGACTATGAAACAGGCACATTGGCAACAATCCTAAAAACACACCCAGTTGAATCCCAGTACATTTAAGGACATGTATCGCAGGCTAAACTATAATTTAGCCAAAATGTTGAACTTATTTTTTGACAGTTATATTTAACATCTGTGAATAAATAAGTGTGTCAAAAAACAGAAGTGCTTCAGTACATAAATAAATAAATACATAAATAAATATCAAGAACTCAGTGCAGGCTAAACAGGTCTTTGGTGTTCCACATCAATCTTTATATATTTTCATCACAGTATGATGCATGGATTTCTCAGTCACTTAAATGGTTAACTTTGTTCTGACAGTTCCGTTAATTCAGCACTGTGTTCACATTAAACACAAACTAGTGAGTTGAACTTGTGATTCAGACCTTTTCTTCAGAGTAAAAGTGGCGTTAAAGAGGTGAGACAGCACCACGCAGATCACCTCGGTCAGTGCTGCTGAGGTGGTGCGACGCTCTACTTAGTGATCCAGTCCATGGAGGTGTCACATGTGGACCCGCAGGAAGATTCATCTAACAAAGATGGAGGATAAAAAAAGTAGTTTAGTGCAACTGGAAATATTAAATATCTCAGACATTAAATTATTAGGAGTCAGAAACACACTAGAATTAATCCTGTTACTGAATGTAATATTCAAGCTCCTGTTCATATTTAAGTTGGTATCACAGGATGTGTACAGCACCATCTTTTCCAGTTTCACCTCCCAGGTGGAATCCAGCTAAATCACATCTACACACAATCCAGATTCCAGAATCCAAATTACGTCATACGTCATGGAGCGAAGGAGAGAATCTGCTTCACACTATTTCAACTGCTGTTTCACAATTGCTTATTTTTGTTAAAAATAAATAGTTCATCATTGCATTAATCTGTTTCATCTTGTTTCATTTTATCTTGTTTATCTTATCTTTGTCCCTGAGAAATATGAATAAAATGATTTTATGAATATGAATGATTGATCAATTGTGAGTGTGACTGAAACATTTTTAGACCTACTGTATCTAAGTGTGTAGCAAACAACATGCACCAGTTGAAGTGGTATACACTGATCAAAAAGCTGGGGACAAAATCATTCCTATGCTCCTGCTGATAAATAATTCACTTACAGTAATCAAGTAGTCCACTTACAGTATTTATTTGGGGTGTTTTCATACAGGCCAACAAATAGAAAAATGATGAAAAACTACTGTAACTCTATCTATTCTTTTTACTTCACTCCCACACCCCTGATGGTGACTTGTCTGCTTCCACCTGGCTACCTGAGAGATTAGTGCTGCACATGTTGAAATCATTGCGAGAGAGATAAAGTCATTTTCTCTTAGTGTAAAATGTAGTCTCCTCTAAGATTATGGCTGCTACAGATGGAAACAGAAAACGACTGTGCACAGGAAAAGCACCTGTTGTTGAACCTGTTCTTGTCAGGTGGATCGATAAATCCTTAATAAAAAATAAATCATATATAATACTCTTCTGGACAGATGTGATCATGTTAAGAATTTGTGGCTCCCCCTGCAGGTTCCAGAGCCTCTTATAACAGCCTCTACAGTACAAGTGCGTAGGAGGTTCTTACATGCAATAATTTCTATTTTTAAATTAGAATACTTTTGAGAAACATTGCTTAAGTTTAAAAACGTTCCTGAGATTTTATGATCATCTCAGCCTTTTGCTTTTAGTGAAACGTGATACCTACCGCAAACCTCCTCAGCACAGCAGCAGGAGGAATGCTGCGCCTGGCTTTTAGTCTCCACCGTCTTCCTGCGAGAGGCTGTGGCCCTGGGTGGGGTTAACTCCAAACTCAGTGCAGAGTTGAATGGGTGTGGAAGGGCAAGGTTTGGGCTCTGCGCAGAAGAGCCTCTGGACAGAGAAGAGGAGCCGGGACCAATATCTAACCCAGAGCCACGGTTGCACAGGGTGCAGGAGACTGGAGAGGCCGAGGGCCCGCGGGGAATCCGACTAAAGTCTCGGTCCGCGTACTGCCGCTGAGCACCGCTGTGGTGCTCCAACCGCTCTCGCTGCCACACGAAGTGAGAGGACACAATGGCCATCACCTGGAGGACAAGAGATACGGAGACACAGACTGAGAAATGTACACGCACAGCTCCATCAGGAAATAAAAACAACAGAGATGGCACTTTTGGCATTAAACCAGCGCTACAAAAACTGCAGTGTGCAGCACAAACAAGACTGTGAAGACTCCCAGAGAAACACCATTTATCAGTTTCCTTAGGCAATTATATGTGTGTGTACCTCTTCACAGCAGCGCCTGCTGACAGCAGCTCTGTACTCGACTCGTGCCCACAGCTTGTCCCGCTGCTTGAGGAAGCGAGGAAACTGCTTCCTCCAGTTCTTGCCCAGCGCCCATGGAAAGATCTCATACTTGCTCTCTTCGTCATCCTCCTCCATGGTGTTGGCAAGATAGCTAGAGATCGAGCACATGAGCCAAATTTAGGGTTACAGTTTTTCCCCCAGCTGTGGCAGTAAAGGCAGCAGCACACAGGTTCCTTTTTTGCTAGAATATCAAAATAAAAAAGCTGAATTTTTCTTTCTTTCTTTGAAACTTACAGTGCAATGAAAAAATTCTTCCTGGTGTATTCAGCGATGGTGAAGCGGGCCCTTTTGAAGTACACAAAGGTCATGGCTAGAAGGTACTGATGAAATAGGGATAAAAGTTGGAGTGAGTTAATCTGAGCATCTCAAAGCTTCAGAGAGATTCTGTCACTTTTATCAAATCATTTACCTTGTCTGTCATTTTACAGCAACAGTCCATCCACAGAAAGTCATGGATCAGGTCATCATCTGTAACCAAACAAAATTATTTCAAGTAAGATTGATCACTCTGAAACCACTTAATTAAAACACGCTTATTATTGGGACTATTCGTTTACCAAAAAGCTTGAAGAACGACTCCATTTCCTGCCGTTGGATGCCGATCGTCGGGGACAAGCTCTTCTTGACATAACACATCTCATCCCGACGCTGGCTCGGCTGGCTTTTCCCTAGCAGGCCCTGGGTGTCTCGACTGTTGGCTCTTTTGAGCCGGTGACCTCTTCTGATTGGGAGCAAGTTTGAACTGCTGAGCCTGACTCCAGCATTTCTTGAGGGGGAAGCCTGGCAACAGCTGTGTGTGTGCTTCATCATGCTTCAGATGCTTAGATCATCTGTAGCGGAAAGGTCTATGATACTGAAAAGAAATGGAGGAGAGGTATGAGTTATTCTGTGCACACAACATCGATTGTTCCTGAGATTTCTTCTATTCATGAATTTATTTATTTATTTAGTTTGCAGAGGCAGATCCTTATCCAAAAAGAGGGTAAAAGGACAGAGAGTGCCATATGCTGCACCCGTAGTCATGTGAGGTCGGAATAATCACAAAATTAGTTTCCAACTGGGAGAAGAACGCCCCCTCATGTCAGCAAAAAATGTTAGCATACAAGTTGCCAAGTTGTCGTCATATACACAGAAATATAGCACACAAAAGTAAATATTTGGTTGACTGTAACACATTTTTTAATTCACATATTGTATATCAATGTTTTGCTCACATGTAATTTGTGATACGATATTAGATCGTAACTGTTAGTTGCTGACCTCGATTAGTTATAAAAGTTATTTACTTGCAGTAATCAGGTAAAGCAGTCTTTTCGTTATTTTAGGGGACGTACTGGTGTGGCAACACGTCTGGGACAAAATCACTTTTTAATATAAAACGTCAAACTGTTATCAACGCGTTTTTTAAATGCTCTAAGCAATAAAATACAACACATGAACTTGAAGCGTCCATGTTGTTTCCATCTTACAAATGGGACCATACCAGGAGCACTTGAATGCAGCATGACTGTTAAGCCCCTTTAGGAAAATCTGTGATGTTGGTCTATAGCTAAAAGTAACTTAGCTTGCTTAGCTACAAACCCAAAGTAAGGTTTCTTCAATTTGCTTGTTTAATTTAAAAAAACTGTGGGAAGTTCAACCTTGTAAATGACTTTCACTACGTCCATCTTAATGACAACTAGGTATTAAGCCAACTCGCAGCCACCAAGCTAGAAAGCTGACAAATTACAACAGCTTGCAAGAAGTTGTTTGAACCGTTAACTTAGTAATAAACTCGGCAAACAAGTCTTAAAGTTAAACTAACTTTAACACTAAGACCGTCTCCAACCCAGTCCTCACCTCCGCGGCTCTTGCTTTTGGTTTCAGTCAATAAAGCAAAGATGAGCGATTAGCTAACGTTAGCTAGCTTACCTGTAAAACCCGATGAAAAGACGACAATTGTCGATGTTACTAACACCTGTATCAGACACACAACGGTACAAAACGTAATGGCGCTAAGAGCAGATGTCAATAATGTCCTTGAAAACAGAAGAGAATGCAATTATAACAACGTTTATTAAAGCTAAAAAGGTTATAAGTTATCAGTATTTACAAAGCACTGACCGGAGGTGAAGGTGGTTTGGGAACGCGCTCCAGGATGCGCGCCAATCGCTCAGCAGTTCACGTGCACGCGAGGAGGACCAATCGCGGACTTCTTCTTCTTCTTCTTCTTCTTCTTCTTCTTCTTCTTCTTCTGCTTCTGCATCTGCTTCTTCTTCTTCTCCCTGTCCAACCTCCAGCATGTATTTCTTAGTATTAAAAATGGAAAACCCACATTACATACTCGATAGACACATCCACATAAAGATAAAACTACTATGGAATAAATTACACATGGGATGTCATCATTAAAACATAGGGTTTCTCTTTCCATAAAAATGGTAGTAACATGGTGGTAAAATTAGCCTACATTATTTTAGTAATTGAGTTGAGTTAAGATTGTGGAATGTGATTTTAGTAAGCCACGGGGTGCTGCTGAGACCAAATTAGGGTTCATTTAGTTGTATTACCACAATTTAAGAAGTAGAAAATTCACACTGAAAAATCAACTTTCCAACTCTCCATATAAGACATAGCTACTTAAAAAAGTAAGGATTCTTAGGGGCCCAAGATCAGTATTTTCACAACCAAAATTTCTATGTTTGACATTAAACATTGTTGTGTCTTTTCTAATAAATAACTATTAAAAATAGAAGGGTGGCCTTAACACTTGATTGGATTTGTTTGTTATTTTCAGTAACTTGTAAGGCTATAATATTCCATGGAACAACGTGCCAGACAGTCCAGGGAACACTAAAAGTTTTATCTGCATATTGAGTGTAGTTTGATAGACTACAGAAGGTAAAATTATTAAAGAGCGAGCAGCTATACTTTATGAAAATGGAGTCTGAAACTGCTGGTTCTTTTTATTATTATTGCAAAACAATAATGCATCAAATCTCTTGTCAGAGATTACAAATACAGATATAAAATAAACAAAAAAGAGA